GAGGTATAAAGGCTTTCAGGTATATGAAACCTCCATCCATCTCCCTTGGGAATGTCAACACAGGTCCCAGCTGCAAGATAGTCTTAAAATTAATGGTGCTAAACCTCTCTATTACCCACTTTATATTGGAACCAGGTAAGTGGTGTAACCAAAGAAGATTGGATTCTTTCTTGAGCGACTCAGGGTCAAGTTTCTCCCATTTGGTGAATATGTACCCCAAAAGAGGACTCTCAAGTCACTGTGGGCTTGTTCCCATCTTTAGAGAGAGATACGAGCAAGCCAAGTGTTAGAGGCATCTCTGCACGTCTCTGTGTTGTTAGGGGCCATTCTGAATAGGGTGGGTACCCTGTTAAGCCATCTCTCAGGCTCTCATGGAAGATAATAATGAAAAAAAGATGATTAGCAAACATTTGGTCAGTCTCAAGGTTAGTTTCCTCCTGGAAGGTTCCTTTAAAATCATTTTCCCTTTTGGTTCAGTATCTGGTTCATTTATTCTAAGTATTTATGTTACTATTCTGGAAACAGCATATGTCAGCATCACTGATTTCATTAAAAAGAAAAATCCCCACTCACTTAACAGGTGAATTGGGGAAGATTTGATAAGCAAACCATATATATTCCCATAACATTCCCTAGTTGGAAGGAAACAGGTTTTGATTAAAAAACAGACATTTGGGCCGAAACCGGTTTGGCTCAGTGGATAGAGCGTCGGCCTGAGGACTGAAGGGTCCCAGGTTCGATTCCGGTCAAGGGCATGTACCTGGGTTGCAGGCATATCCCCAGTGGGGGATGTGCAGGAGGCAGCTGATCGATGTTTCTCTCTCATCGATGTTTCTGGCTCTCTATCTCTCTCCCTTCCTCTCTGTAAAAAAATCAATAAAATATATTTAAAAAAAAAAAAAACAGACATTTGTAGGGAAGCTTTATTCTGATGGTGAAAGCAATTAATTGGGTGAGGTTAAGAACAAATAAAGTAGCCTCAGTATATACAGGGTACTTAGTGGCTTCTCCCTCTCCCCCCTTTTTAAAATAGATTTTTATTGATTTCAGAGAGGAAGGGAGAGGGAGAGAGAGATAGAAACATCAATGATGACAGAGAATCATCAATTGGCTGCCTCCTACATGCCCCTAATGGGGATAGAGCCCACAGCCTGGGCATATGCTCTTGACCAGAATCAAATCTGGGACCCTTCAGTCTGCAGGCAACTCTCTATCCCCTGAGCCAAACTAGCTAAGGCAGTGGCTTCCCTTTTAATGATAATTTAAAATTCTCCCAAAGTATCAGTGAGAAGGAAAAACACGCTTGGAGCAGCCCTATGCTTGTTTTTGTTTGTTTCCTTTTTCTAAATCCTATTTCAGTTTCCTATATCCCTCAAGTGGGCAGGCTTCTCTATAGGAGTTTTCTATAAACCTTACTTAGTAATCCTCTTCCTTTTGCTCCCAGAAACCAGGAGTATATTAATTGCAATAGGTTAGAATAGCCAGGATTACATGTTCTATCAGTTAAATTTCTCTGTGAACCAATCAGGGCCATAGAGAAAATGGAGGACGATTGCTGGTTCCTCTCTGGCTGAGAGCAGCTTTTCTCCAAAGGGAGTTGGTAGAATTCCTATTCTCATTTTCCCTTAAGTCAGTAGGGAGAGGTAGTGGAGGAGACAGAAGGGGAAGGAAGACAGGAAGGGAAGAAATACATCTGGACAAGAAAGCTCAGAGAGAAAAAGATATAGTGGACGTGCTATAGAAGGGGGAGGATGGGGTGTTAGCATGTATTAGCTTCAGGAGAGTTTGAAGATAATCTCTGAAATTTCTTGTTTATTTCTTTTTTAAAGAGAATTTATCTGTGCTTCTCCTTAGAAGTTTCTAATTTCCAAATCAAGATATGCGTCCTATTCACTCAATCTGTTTAATTTTCAGTCCTGCATTTTTCTAGGTTTTTGTTTGTTTTGTTTTGCCTGCAAAAAATTAATTTAGGCACCCAACGACAACTGAATATTGGCCATTTTTCAGTTGATATTTTCTAGTTAAATCTTCTCATTTCTGTAAAGCACTTGCAAGTCAAGGTGTCCTATCAGGAATAGTAATGAGGGCTGGAGTCTGGGAGTTCCCAGCCGTGGAGGCACAACTTCCAATGTTAATGATAGGTGTGTTTGTGGCTCTTGTTTTTATTGTTGTTTGGTATCTGCAGTCTCTTAGCAAATTTTCTAGAGGTGTGATGTAGTGGGTTGAGGTTTGTTGCTTTATGGGTTGAGCTGCATGATGCTCACTTTCCTAGAGTCTCATCCAACCCTCTTATGTGCCTCAGTTTCTCTCCCTTTTGTCTACAACAACCAGAAGGGCCACCAGTGCAGGTGGAACAACCCTGATTAGTGCTCCCCTTGAAGAGCCAGGCAGTTAAATTACAGTTGTGTGAGAATTTCTCTATGGGGCTCCTGCATGTCGTGAGGACTGACCTCTGACACAGCAACACAGATCCTTACTCGTCTAAGAACACCTGAGATTCCTGCAGGAAAGAGCATGTAATTTGATATAGAATTACAATATTAAGTGAAAGATTTTCACAATCAAAATCCCCTTCATCTTCTGAGATGAACAAGACCAGCTCTCTATGTACAGCCCAGGTGTTTGCCCCAGACTCTCAAATGGCAATTCCAATGGAAAAGCCAGAGGTCAAGTCCAGGCCCATTTTCCCTCCTGTCTCTCCTTAGCCTGGGATCTGTCAACCGTTAACCTTAGTTCCCCCAACAGTATTAACAATATGGCTCAAATAGAGTCTGCAGCACAAGCAAGGGAAGGTCCTGGGTCCAAGAGACAACTCACACAAGTTCACGGAACGGGCAGGGAGCTGGGAGGTCAATGGGCCCTTTGCTGCATCCTGGCACCAGGTGTAGATCTGCAGGGTGGTGCTGGGAGAGCCTTCCCGGGATAGTGCTGTACTGTGCCAAGTAAATGTCAATGTAAGAAGCATTCAAAAATTTGAACAATTTTTGAGATTTTATCTGAGCCCACCTGTCAATTGCCATCAAGCAAAATCTGAATGCATTGAAATAATGCTCTGGAGAATGGCCGTGTTCACCTTATTTTAGATATTACCATCAAAAGTGGAGATGTATGTTTGTTGTATCAAATCCGTTGGCGATAGATACACACATACTTCTTCACACTGGTGGATATAGGATAGAACAGCCAACAATGAACTTAATAACAATGAGGGGATTTGTGGTCTCCACAGCACGGTGTGTCCAAAACAAGGAACATTCCTTTGACTTTCCAAAGCTATGTTTTTGTGGATTCCAAAAGATAATAGACAGGCTCAGTTAAGTTAAAGATTGACCATTTTTTAGAGAAGATGCCAGCCTAGATGTAGCGACACACCAAAAACTGCTTTTGATTAGAAATGTTTTAACTTCAGGACATCCTTTGTGAATACTTTAGGTCCCTGAGCTTAAAAGACCACCACCCAGGCATTCTCTGACCTAATCACGGGTTAGCGAGTGCCCACTTTTTGTGTGGCCACACTCTCCTTCGATCACTTAGGCCCCACTTCTTGCCACCAATCATGTCCCTCCTCTGTCCCACCACAGGAGAAAAAACCATCAACCCTGAGTAGGAAAAGGACCAGTAGGGTGCCAGCAGCTGCAGCTTCCTCACGAACTGTGCGCCTGGCCAGCACGTCCACAGTGCTCACAACACAGGTCCCCCAGAACCTGTTTGCCACCTGGGAGGTGGACTGCTCCAGCGCCTGCTGTGTGCCCAGGGTGTGTAGTCTCACTTTAAAGAAGCTAGTGATCTCCAAGAAGCTGGCCAAGGACCTCAACTCCGTGGTAATTTCCGTGAATATGCAGGACTCCAAGGGCATCCTGAGGTCCCAAGAAATTGTGCTGCCCCGCAGTGGGCCAGTGCAGACCGACCTGGCATTGACCTTCTCCCTGCAGTACAACCACTTCCTCAAGGGAGGAGGTAACAAGCTACTGATCATGCTGGAGCAGAGGAAGCGCTATAAGAATAGGACCGTCCTGGGCTACAAGACACTGGCCACGGGCGCCATCTCCATGGATGACGTCATGCAGCAAAACCCCAAAGTGTGACCAGATGCTGAGCCTCTGCAGCAGAGTCAAGGAGTCCTTCACCAAGGTGGCCGAGATCTGGATCTCCTCACTGTGAAGTCAGCCCATCAACAAGGAGGACATGGCCATGCAGAACCAGACCCAAGGCCAAGTCCACAGGTAACTACACTGTGGGCAGGATAAGAGCTCCTTTTCTGAGTTGTAGGCCAGCTACAGTGGAAAGCACAGACAGGACCTGCACAAGGATGACTTCGAGAAGAGGAAGCCAAAGAAGCTGCAGTGATCAATAGAAGGAATCTTGAAGCAGAAAGTCCTGGCACTGTTTCACAGGTCCAAAGTGTCAGAGAGGGACCTTCGGGCTGACATGATGGGGAACCGCAGGAAAAGTGACCTCTACATGGAGGATTATGAGATCGTCTTTAGCAACCCCAGGCCCAAGCTCAGGCCGTACTTCAAAGGTCTGTCAGGCTCCAGCTAGCAGATGGAGATTCGAGGAAGCCACATTGCCAGGACCAAAACAGAGCCTCTGACTCTTGCCCACATCACGGAGAATGTGTGGGACCTGGGATGAAAACAGCTAAGTGACAGTGACAATGAATTTGTGGGCTACAGCACACCCACCAGCAAGGTGGACAAGATCCATACCTCCTCCCTGTCCATGCCGTCCATCAACCATGAGGACAGCGCCAGACAAGCCAATCTCAAGGCTGAGTGCTCAGAGAACCACTCTAAGGGCAAGTCTGAGAACTTCCTCTCAAAGCTAGAGGCCAGCTGCAGTGCCAGACACAGGCAGGACCAGGAGGAGGATGACTTTGACAAGGGGAATCTGATAGTCAGAAAGAGGTCCATGACTCGGCAACAGAACTACCACCAGAAAGTCTTGTTATGGCTGCACACAGTCAAAGTGTCAGAGGAGATCCTGGACATTGGGCAGGAAGGACTATGTGGAGCATTCCAGGAGGTGGAGGAGGACCTGGACCTCCTGTATGACATGCTGGAGAACGCCAGTGACAGTGTCCAGATATCGAGGACTATGACAGCGTGCTCAGCACCCCAACACCTCAGCTCAGGCAATACTTCGAAAGCCTGTCTAGCAGCCCAGACATGACGGACAATCACAGTGTCCTCAGCAGCCCCAATCCCAAGTTCAGGATATACATCGAAGGCCTCTCAGACTCCAGCTTGCAGATGAAGATGTGGGGCCTCCATGGTGCCAGCATCTGAAAGGAGCCACTGAGTCTGGCCCACCTGCCTGAGATCGCGTGGCCCCAAGAGGGCAAGCAGCCAAGCCACAGTGACTCCAAATTTGTGGCTTACAGCATACCCACCCCTCAGATGAACAAGATCCTTGATGGCCACCCTGTCCAGTCAGCCCATGGATCATGATGTCGGTGCCATACAGGCCAACACCAAGGCCCAAACCTTGCATAACGACTCTGCCGACATGTCTGAGAGCTTCTTCTTTCAGCAGGCAGCTAGCTAAAATGCCACCCACAGTTCATCCCAGGAGAATAACTGTAACGAAGGGAATCTGATAGTTAGAAGGAGATGCATGACCAGGCACCGGAATTACCACCCGAGAGCTGTGGAATGCATGCTCATGGTCCAAGTGTCGAGGAAGTCGCATCCTCACAACAGGCCCTGGACTTTCGGTATCACACTGTGAAGAGCTCCAGCAAGAGTAGTCTAACGTGGAGGACGATGTAAGTGTCCCCAGCACCGCAAAGCCCAAGCTCATGAGATACTTTGACAGCATGTCAAGTGATAGTGGCTCTGACTCAATGGTCCAAGGAATTCACCTGGGGAGCAGCTGGAGGACAGCCTGGAGGCAGAGTCCTCCGTCTGAGGTTGGTTCACCAAGATGCTCCCATCCATAGTGCGCTTCACCAAGTCTGTAGTCATCCCCTCCAGCAGGTCCAAGGAGAAACAGGCTGGCCACCGGGGCTGCAACACAGGCCTGAATGAGTGGTTCAACAGCCTGGACAATGATGGCCCCGACCTACAGAACCAGCGGCAGATCCCCAGAAAGCCCATGAGTGACCAGCCAAACAACATCCTCATTTCCCACGACAAGCTGGCCAAGAACATCATCCTGGTCAACAGTTCGGACTGGCAGGGTCAGTTACTTTCAGACATCCTGCAGGGGCACACGCTGCCTGTGTTGTGCGCTTGTTCCACAGTTGATGTCCAGGAGGCATTTAGCATCATCATCTCCTGGATGCAGAGATATTGCAACTGCAATTCCCAAGCTCTGATAGCAATTTTCCCACCAACCACCCCAATGGCTGGACTACATGTGTGTTCTGGTCATCCTGCTGGGTTCCCACCCCCTGGCCAGGTACCTGGGTTCCATGGAATGTCGCTACAGCAACTTCTTCCAGGACCTATACTGGTGGGACATGTTCAACAACCTGCAGTCCCAGAACACCTTGCAGGACACACAGGACGTTTTGTCGAGAATCACAGAGTAGGTGCCTACTGTGTCTACCTGCTGCCATCGCAGAGGCCATGCTCAATGAGCAGCAGAAGCGCCCCAACGAGAAGTCCTCACAGAAGCTCATTCCCTTAGTGGGGGCAGTGAAGGTTGGAAGAGTGGATCGATCTGCAGCCATGTCAAGAGATTCAGATGATGTGGACCCCTCATGCTCCAGTGTTCTTCCTGCCAGGAAGGCCTCACCCAACACACTCTCCCCTCCGTCAATGAGTGGGGGCCTGTCCTCCCCCAGCCAGAGTGTCCATGCAGAGATGATGGAGCTGCAGGTGGATTACTGAACAGCAGCCCAACCAATAGACACGAAGAGAATTGTGGAGAAGAAAGACCTGCCTACCGCCAAAAGCACACTAAAGTGCTTCTTCCAGTCTATCCAGGCCAGCAGGCTGCCCAGCAGTGGTGAGGACACAGCAACACCCACCATGTCCATGACAGTGGTCACCAATGAGATGAAAAAGAAGGAGCCCAAGAAAACCAAGAACAAGGATGTGGAGTCCACAAGCCAGTGCATTGAGGGCATCGGTCACCTGGTTTGCAAGGCAAAGAACCAGCAGAAAATGCTGCCAGTCGTCATTGATGGCACAGAGTCGAACGACGTGACGTTCTTCCAGCTGGCAGCCCAGTGGTCCTCTCACGTCAAGCTCTTCCCCATCTGCATCTTTGGACATTCCAATTCCACATTCTAGCCCTGCCTCTCTCCCTGCCCTTCGCTCTGCCTTGGCCAAGCCCAGAAGGACCCAGCTGCTTTTCTGTGAACAGATCAGTTTACTACAGACACAGACCCTGGAGACACCCAAAGAGAAACTGTTTTGAGTATGAATGCACTCAGAGCCTGGAACCTAAGGGGGTTGTTTCTCACTGGGAGCTCCTAACTGCTCTGTTCAATAACCAGAACGCTCTGGTAAGTGGAAGGTCAGGAGGGTAGTGTTGAGCTAGAGAATCATGGAAGGTGTGTTTTGGCCTCAGGATCCCCAGCATTCCCAGTGAAAAGGGTTTTGGCCTTGAGAACCTGCCCTTCGTGGAAGCCAGGATACTGCTTCCCAGGGAGCCAGCTCCAGCCTGTGCCCTGACACAGTGGCAAGAGGTCAAGGGCTGGCCTCTGACTGTGAGCATTCTGAGCAGAACAGGGAGACCGGTCAGCCCAGCCCTTGGATCCAGCTGCCAATCAGCCAGCTGGTCCAGCACCACATTCTTGAGATTTCCAATGAACTTCAGCCTCACAGGGAGAAAAAAAACACACAAACAAACAAACAAAAAAACCTGACCTGTATGGTGCACATGGCCCTGGCATACTGGCTAGACTAAGTGGTCGAATACCTGAGAAGGGAACCCACCTTCATTCCTGTCTATACTTACAGAACTTTTGCTACCACCCAACAGCTGTGAGACCAATTATTCACCAGGTGAGCCCCTCCCCTTCGAGATCACATGATCACCAGGCCACCTGTTGGCTGTTTGCCTTCAGGTCACTGCAAATCTCTGAGTGTTTGTTCCTCTGAACCCTCGGTGAACCCAGGAGCTAGGGTTATTGTAGGGACTCACTGGGTTCCTACCTGGTAAGTGTTCTCTGGGAGCCTAGACAGTGGAGAGGTCTGCTGGAGGGGCTGTGATTGAGCCAATTGGTTATTTTCTCTTCCTGTTAAGGAAGCCACTGCCAAATTTGTGATTCTCTTTGGGGTCTTGGGCTAAGCTGTTTCCAGATTTCAAAAAGAGATTGGAGATATGATTAGGAGTCCACTTCCCAGGTGAATCTGCATCAGGTATGCCTGGGGTGAGCAGTGGGGCCCCAGGGTCACCCAGTTTTCTCAGATCGGGCTGGTTTGGGCTCATTCATTCAGCAGATATATTAGTCGCCCTGCCAGGTACAGACATGTCTCTAGGCACTGACCATAATCCAGTGCACAGAGCAGACACCAAGCCTGCACTCCAGAGCTTCCTTCTGGTTGGGAGTGATTCAGTCACACTAGGCTGCCCAGGCTCATATAGTGTCCACAGGACAGCCGATGTGACGTCCTCCTGGCCTCCTCTACCTATGGCTGCATCTTCCCATATTGTGAAGAGGATGGTAGACCTCTGTTCAGCAGAAAACGTGAGTCAGTTTTGGATCAGATCCGTGAAGGGAGTATGGGGACTGTGAATTCAAGGTGCTGGCAAAACCCTGGATCCCACTCATGGTGGGATTTCTGCAAGAAGGCAGAGGTCTGAGGCTTCGCCTACAAAAAGGGAAGGAGTCAAGAGAGCTGTGCATGTGGATTTAGGTGGTGTGGGAGAGCAGTGGGAGCTCAGTGAGAGAGTCAGACCCTCAGCAAATTCATATCCTTCCCCTCCTAATCCAATCTTGCCTGCACCCCTATCCCGGGGAACTTTGATCACTAATCTGGTAGAACCTCCTCAGTGGCAGCTTGGCAGGTGTACCCCACCCTGTGGGAGCTGAGTTTCAATGGGAGGCAAAGAACCACACAGGAAAGCTCCTGAGTTATGCAGCATGTAGGTTCAGGAGCCAAAGTTTGAGGTGATAGAAAGGCCCTGGGGTTCGTTTGTTTGGTCATTGGTCAGTATTCCTGAAGCACCTACTCTGTGCCAATGAAAAACATGAACACGGTGGACACCAGCCCTCTCAGTCATAATAGGAGTGTCGTGAGAGGAGCAGGGACACTGGGAGAGCATGTCAGGTTCCCCTGGAGAAGGGGACTGGTGGTTTCCTCATTGATCCAGAGCTGTCAGTTAGGAGAGAATTCTGCCAGCCCCTCCTGGGTGACCAGGCATTTGTCTGCAAGGACTGCCAGACTGAAGATGGACAAGGAGTAGGTAGGGCTTCTGGATGGGCAGGAGCAGCAGGCACAGGACCCCAGGCTTTCTGAGTGGTGCTCTGGGAGGGCTGTGTGGAATGGAAGGGCAGGCCTCACACTCTGCTGCTCACCTATCTCTCCCCCCAGGGCCATCTCCTGCATCCTGGGCATCTGGCTGGACCAGCACCTCCAGAATTTCCCAACCTGATGATGCTGTTGGCCTCCATAGAGCTCACCTTTCCAGTCTCCTACCTGCCAAACCAGGCCTAGTGCCTCCATTCACAGTGGGAGCACTTGAGCCCACTGAGGCCGAGACAGGAGGAGGAGGCCTCTGGGGGGTGGTGTGGGTGAGTGTGCCTTTGGAAGGCACACAAAAGGCAGTGAGGGTGGTAACATGTCCTCTTCTTGCATCTACAGAACCAGAGCAACATCAGGAAAACCCTCAAGAGGCAGTGCCACCCTCGTGGCCTCTCCAGAGCCAGAGCCGGATCCAGGCCCAGCTTTCACTGAACTTCAAGAGGCAGAAGAACCACCTGCAGCATTTGAGCAACTCACCCCCGTTCCTACGAGGCCTGTGGTGCCAGATCCCGGGCCACAGCGCGTGTCAGGGGCCACAGCAGAGAGGGCACCGCCACCGCCCCCCTACTCCTCATTTAGATGCAGTGTTAAAAGTTTTCTGTTCATGTTACATATGCTTATAATTTTACTATATTTTTATGATATTTAATAACATAGAGTGTACTGTAGAGAACATTTACTGAAATACTCTTAAATATAATCTTAATTTAGATTCTATAAAATTTAACCCTATAAACCCTCAGAGCTTTGAGCAAGTCTGTTTTTCTGGACCCTGACCCACCCAGGAAGAACTGTCCTCACCTTCTCCACTGCCCTTCCTGGAGCCAGGACTCTGCTTCCCAGGGAGCTGGCTCCACCCTGTGCCCCCAGAGCTGACCTCCCATTGGGGAGCATCTTAAGCCCAACATGGAGGCCTGTCAGCTCAGCCCTGGGCCTCCATGTTGTCCAAAACACCACTCACTCAGGCTTCCAAATAAACTTGACCCTCACAAGGAGAAAAAAAAGACATGTAAGGTGCAGACCTCCCAGGAACAGTGACTGGACAAACTGATCAAATATTTGGTGCCCAGCTTCCTGGGCAGCGTCCACACCTTTGACCCCACCCACATTTCTGTGTTAATAGAGAACATTTGCTACTAACCAACGTGTGGGACCAACCATGTACCAGGTGAGCCCGGCCCCTCCACAGCACAGTGGTCACTCAGCCACCTGCTTGCTGTGTCTTCAGGTCACTACATCTCTCTGCACGATTGTTTCCCTGAACATGGGGAGAGCCGAGGACCAGCCTCATAGGGTTATTGTAGGGACTAGGGGTTGGGGGAGGAATCTCCCTGGGAAAAGGCTCTCTGGGTGCCTGTACGCACTGGAGAGGAGTGCGGAGGGTCTGTTGTTGTTCTAATTGACCATTTTCTCTTCTTAACAAACATCCTGCCTTATTTGGATTCTTCTTGGGGCCTTAGGCTAAGCTATTTTCTATTTTGAGAAAAAGATTGGAGAATCCATTAGGCATCCTTATCCTGGGTGAAGCCAGTTTAGAAATCCCAGGGGTTCCCCCAGGGTCACCCAGCTATCTGAGATAGGGCTGGTTTGGACTCAGTCAGTCAACAAATGCCCTGACTCCAAGATTTCCCTCCAGAGCTTCCTTCTAATCTGGAGTGTTTTAGTCACAATAGGTTGCACAGGCAGGTAGCATCCACAAGTCAGGCCATGTGACTTCCTCGTTGCAATATCGCTGCACCTTGGCATATTTGGAAGCAGGAAGTGGATCTCAGGACCAGCAGAAAACATGAATGAGTTTTGGATCAGAGCCTTAAGGGAAGTATGGAGACTGTGACTTGGAGAAGCTGGAAAAACCTTGGATCCCACGCCTTGCCTTGTGAGATTTCTGCAAGAGGGCAGAGGTTTGAGGGCTTCTCCTAGAAAACACGGAGGGGTTCAAAAGACCACTGTGCATGTGGATTTGGGTGGTGTCTGTGAGTGGGGAGGGAATGGGGCTGGATTCCACAGAGAAGAGCTCCCAGAGGCTGGGATAGGCAGGAGCAAAGAGTCCCTCAGCTCAGTGCCCCATGGCCTGCAGTGTGGAGGACTTCCTGGGGTGGGCTCTTGAACCGAGACTTCAGTGATGCAGATGAGAGATCCATTCTTTGGAAGGAACACAAATCAGTCAGTCATGGTGGTAATATGTTCTTCTTGGATCTACAGAAGCAGCTCCAGAGTAAGATCAAGGAACACCTAAAGAGGAAACACCAACTCTGGTGCCTTCTCCAGAGCCAGAGCAGGCTCCAGGCACAGGTGTCACTGAACTTCCAGATGTGCAACCACCTGCTGCATTGGAGCAACTCACCGCAGCTCCTGTGAGGCCTGTGGTCCTAGAGCCTGGGCCACAGCCTGTGTCAGCTGCCAAGGCAGAGGGGTCTCCCGCCCCCTGCCCCCTGCCCCTTATATGTGGTTATAAAATACTTGTGTTTATTTTATATATGCTTACAATGTTACTCTATTTTTCTCATACTACTCAGTAACCTGCAGTCTATTTTAAAGAAAATGTAATGAGATACTCTTAAATACAGATTTAATTTAGATTCTATAAAATTTAACTCTACAATCCTTCAGAGCCTTGAGCAAGTCTGTTTCTTCTGGGCCTGCGTCGTGTTACTATGAGCCATAGGTTGGGAATAATTAGTCTCTCAGGAGCCATCTGCTCTAAGAATGTGACGTGACCTTCTTTGAGGCCCAGGACAATGGGGGAAATTGACTGACGAGCATTGGGGCAGGGACCCTTTATGTCAGGGCTGCCCCTGGGAACCCAATTTTTGTTTGAC